CACACGCACACCACACGCACACACACACACACACACACACACACACACACCCACACACACACACACACACACACGCACACACACTCACAGACACACACGCGCGCGCGCGCGCGCGCTTCAGTGAAGAGAAGGGGGAGGAGTCAGAGACACAGCAGCACACTGTGAGCAGCACACGAACAGGAGAGACAGGGAGACGAGAGAGAGCTCGATAGCGCGACAGTACAGAGAAAAAAACTACACGGTGGAAAGTGGAAAGGTGAGAAAATGGATAGGCAACGCAGTGAAATTTGGACCGATTTCAACTGAATTGATAGTTCAAAGGCAGCGTGTAGACTGTGCAAGGTTAAAATATCCAATATCAAATTTTAATTTATAATTTGTTGTGTGGTAATCAAAGCTTACTTATGTTGTTTTACTGTAAATATTTAAACACTTATAAATATGCACAATCAGAGATTGGAACTTTTTGTTGACCTTTTTTTGAGATGGGTCTTTGTTTTTGTACTTTGTAATTTATTTTTTTTGTAGCACTCCATGTTGTACGCCATGTTGAGTATGTTCAGAAGAATGTAAATAAAGCCATATAAATAATAAATATTTGATATACTGTATATTTTTTCCATTAGTAATTCATTTTACACGTAATTTTACATGATTTTTGGTAGTAAATTAAGCAACAAAAAAACTGAGGAGCCATTTGGGAGCCGAAAGAGCCGGCTCTTCTTAGTGAGCCGAGCCAAAAGAACCGGCTCTCTCAAAAGAGCCGGAATTCCCATCACTAGTGTGGAGTGCTTGAAGAGCTGATGTCTGATGTCACGTTGCACCACAAGGTGGAGGTGAGTGCGCCCGCCTGTCTGTCTCTCACTCAACTTAAACTTCTGCTTCATGTACTGCACAACAGTGTCAACTCCACATAGACAACCCGAGCATCTTCAATGTCATTTAAAAACTTGAGACTAACTTGGCCCACTTCAATGTCATTTAAAAACTTGACCAGAAGAGTGATCATGTTGTTGTGGAGTAAACGGCAGTTAGTTTTTGTCTCAATGAGAGAAGTCGGACGTGCTCATGTCCCCTTTGGTGTGTCATGAGATGTCGGTGACATCACGCCTGTCGTCGGTGTTTGTGTGCGTGCAACTTCAACTGGCCCACACATTTGACCATAAAGTTGTATCCAATCCAAACATTGACTGGTCAAATGCTTTTACATTGTCATGTTCGCTTTTCTGTCCAATAAATTGTTCAAGTTGAATTCGAGTCTTTGCCTTTCATGACCAAATCCATCCTCAACTCACTCGAGGCCTTTTCAGAGACTGAAGTCTTGAGCTCAGACTTGCACTTCAGTCACATCAGACTTTTCACTGTTCCCGTTGGTCTCCACATGACTCGAAACTCCAGGAATCGAGCTTTTGGGTCATGTGAAACCGACGGGAACAGTGAAAAGACTGTCTGATGTGACCCAAGTGCATGTCTGAGCTCAAGACTCAAGTGGGACTTTGAAAGTGCTGCAATGCCTGCCCCAACCACACCCAATTTGACATCCACCAATCGCG